AAATCCACGGAATCTTTAATTCATCGATAGAAAGATAAAACCGAAATTTAATAATATACGAATGTTTCCAAGGTTTTTCAAAAAATCCAATGATGCAATTAAAATTTTTGGAAACTCGTAAAATTCTCACACGGATTCTCTCACTTTTATCAAGGAAATTTTATTACACGAATATTGTTAGGAAAGGTGTATAATTGGGAAATATTTCCTCTCGCGTAAAGCCACGACAATAGGAAAATCATGAAATCAAAAAGCAGAGTAGAACTGCTTTCAAATCTCCCCTCGTTCCGAAGTTCGGTTTTCAAAAAAAAAAGGCTGGAAAAATCTATAATAGCGCAATTAGAGCTAGAGGACTCTTTGGGATCGAAATCGCGCCACCGCCACCTATTGTTACGGACAGCGACCACGTTCCAACTTCCAATAGATAGTTCGATCGATCCCGATTTTCAATTTGCGCCCCGCTGAAAAAACGCGGAGCCATCCTCGTTAGACCACAACCCGGGGGATTATTATTCCTCGTAGAGGATATTATCGTTAACTCTGTTCCCAACTTCTATTAATTCGTTTCTTTCGTTTCGCTCTCTTTCCGCTCGAGGAAATAAATCGTTACATTATCCATTGCATCGCAACAGTTAAATTATTAGCTTGTACCATGCCTAAAATTTTACGTTAATTTTAGAATAAACGACAATCAAACTTTATATTTTGACTTCTTTTTTGTATCAGTTCAACCGTTTTTTCCAGAAGTGAATATTATTTCTGCACGAGTTTAAGCTGGGCTACAGTAAAGTATATCGAAATATTAGGTTAGCTTTCGGAGAAGATTCTGTCGATTAGAGCGGACCGTTTCGGTGGTCGTTTCAAAAATTCAAATCTGGAAATGAGAATCTTGAAAAAGATAAATTGAAAGGCAAAGCGGAGGCAGAAGAGTTAGATGTATTTCGAATGATAATTTTCAGACGTTTGCAATGAGTAAAGTGAATAAATTAGAAAAGAGGAAAAAATGTGCTTATCGCTCGAAATAAACTCTTTTGAATAGAATTATAATTTTGTGTACGATAATCGTACGCGATCTGGACAATGATTGAACGCTGATAAAAATCGTAAACAAACACCGAAACCATTATTACGGCCGAAAAAAATTATGGTATATGATCTGTAAAGGGAATTCGTTGTTCTTTTCTGAATACCGCAACAACAGCATTCTAATGCCAAAAAAATCGATTGAGAAACAACCCGCGTTAATCAATATATATGGATCTATTTAATTCACCGGATATTTCACCATTTACAGTTGTTTTTAAAAAATAAAATATTAGACGCTCGAGAAGCTGTAATCGCAGCATTCGAAGCTAAAACCACGAAGTTTTATAAAAATAGAATACATCATGGAATCTCGTTGGGAAAAGGTGATTAAAGCCAATGACTCGTATTTGATCGAATTATGATCGAATAAAGTTCATAGTTTCGAATATCGTTTTTCTTCCGAGCAACAAAAATGGCAATTTCACGTAGTACGATTTAATATAAGTTTCTCTCTTATAATTTCAATTCGATGCATTCTTCGTTTCTTGCTTCTTAACCTCTTTCTTAGAGCAATTTGTTACTGTAATTTCTGCAATTATCCTGTGGCTAGATAGTTTCTCATTTCTCTTTTACCCTTGAACGAATTGAACGGTTGAGCATCGAAGCGAAAACTTTTTGTTTTGTTCAACGCTCAAGTTGCGATGGTTTTTTGTGGAAGAAACGTTTCTTTTTATCTTATCGTTGGAATCATCGTTCCGTTTCGAAGAGGCTCGGTTACATTATTTTGTAACTCGAATACCGAGTCGAGAGACCTTTCGTGTATCGATAGAAAAAACTGCACGCTTATGTTTCGTTCCAGCAAGGAATGTTTTATTTATATGTAGTATTTTGTGGAGATAGAGATATATTTATATATCATTTAAATTAAAAGATATTCTAGAGGTTTCCTTGCTTACCAACACTTTCATGCTCGGCTAACGTCGGTGGAAAAGAATAAGTTTCGAAGAAAAGCGCGCGCAAAAAAAAAGATATCGAAGATAGAGAATAGCGTTTAAAACGAATCTCTCCCTCCTTTTTATAATCCTTTCTTCTTTATTCCTCGTAAACTTATTTTGCGTTCAATCCTACTCCGCCTGTGGAATTCTTTCGTTTCGTTATTCCATTCGTAATAATTAATAAGAAAAAAGAATTACGAATTATTCATAAAGAAGTCATCTTAACTTTTTCGCTACTTTAAAATTGCTCGATGCACAATGCAAATTGCAAAAAAATTCTTCAAATCGAGAGAAAAGAGTTTCAACAAACACATCCGAAAATAATTCCTTGTTTATACAGGATGGCTCCGGATTAAACTGCATCAGTATGTTCTACGAGTGAAGAATAATAAAAGAATGTTATACAAACATAGATTTGCTTCCAAGAAGAAAGAAGAAATTTATGTTTCCATTTCAAAGTGCCGTCTCCTGTTATGAATGCAAATTGACGACATTTTAGGAAAACTGAATTTATCTCACTCTTCGAATATTCATTTTTATCTTGCTCTGAATTCAACGAAGGCACTAATTAATTAATCATTTCTATTAGCTCTTTTTGCAAAACGTTTGAACGATTCACGATCGTTTTTTTCCCCAGTGATAAAAAAGAAAATAAAAAATAAAAAATCTAGCGGTGCAAGATCTGACCATTTCCATCTTTCGTGAAAATATTCGTGAACGAATTCGAGCTCGCTACTTGACTAATTAAATTTCATATTTTTATTATAATTTTTTTATATAAAGCATTTTCGCGAACCTATGTTTATATAATATTCTTCGTAGAACATACTGGTGCAGTTTGATTGTTTAATTTAGAAATACCCTATATATCTAAAAAAAAAAAAAAAAAAATCTCCAAATTATGGAAAGCGCAACAACGAGAGAATAGATAGATAGATAGATAGATAGATAGATAGATAGATAGATAGATAGATAGACCTCTTTCATCTTCTCCACGAAGTGGGAGGAGAATCATGTTTCGCGCTTTTCTCGTAAATTTTTTTATCGACACTGTCCGCTCAACCATCGTTACAATAAAACGTTGATAGTTTCCAAGACGTTGGAACTGAGGGCTGAGTTACGATGGCTTCCATAAAGAAGGAGGGGGGGGAAGGATCTTGGACCTCGAGAAATACGCGTTGCGTGAGAAAAAGGAATGGAAATCGGATGGGTAATAAACGGATGGTCGTAAATTAAAAGGATTTAACGCGATGAAATCTGAATTTTATTCCCGGATGACGTGGAAAGGGCGAGGTTCTCGTGGTGGACAGAAGTCGGGAATTGAAACGATCCTTCCCATTGTGCCGTTTAGAATTTCGTTGTTTAAAGGTGGTCCATTGTCATCCTGTGCGCGGTGTCTGAAACAGCATCGAAAGCAAAGAAAGCGAAAGAGGGGAGCTTTGCCGTGCACCCACCATAAACTAATTGCCAGGGGAAACGGGTTCTGTTTTGTCAAGTTGTTTTGTCACGTCTCTCGCATGGAAAATAATTAATTCCATAGTAAAATTTTATTATATAATTATGCGCTTAAATATTATTAATTTAGAAATTGAATGATATTTTTTCCTTAGAGTTAATGGCAATGCTTAAATTTTTATACAAATTTATATCGAATGTATGAATTTGATGTTTCGAGAAATTTATATATTCAATATGCCAATGCTTTCCTTCGAATATGATGTTTCAAAAATATATATCGACTATTCTAAACGAAATAATTTCTTCGTGGAAGTGAAATTTTTGGAAAAAAGCGCGTTTTTTTATCAAACATAATTTATCGTGTATTTAAATTTTTATACAGGCTTATCGAGCAAAAACTTTCTTGAATAAACGAATTTGATGCTTCGAGAAATATGTTCTACGTGAAATCGGCTATTCCTATCGGAACGATGTTTTTTTCAAGTACGAGTACGAACAGGGACCTAATTTACCGACAAAACGACGGAAAAAATGGATGAATCATAAGTAGCAAAGTGGACAAAGCATATTCAATTACGAGCGGATACTAAATTCTCCGGAAGTCTCGATTCCCGAGAGAATTATCGACCAGCTGTATTTCCTTCCCGGACGGCAAATAATCCAAAGCGCAACAAATAATTGCTCGGCAAATAGGAAAGTTGAAGCGGTCTCCTCGGTCCAATTAGTCATCTTCTCGCTTTCGAACAGTCAATTAACTTGGAGAAATTCCTTCAGCTTTTATTTTTTTTCGTTTTTCGCACCTGTTTCGAATCGATCGATATCAACGCCCCCCTCGAATTCCGCTTTGAAGCGCGAATCCAGACGTCGCGAATTAAATATCGTTCAAATATAATTTAAACTCGATGCGATGTAATGTAATAAAAAAACGCTCGAAACGTTACCGTACATTCGCGCTTTCTTCTAGATCGCTATTATTTTATTAATTTTCACATTTATTAGTCGTGAAATGACAATTTATCATTCGCAAAGTAACCTAATTATACAAATTTTAAGCATTTTTATTTGCCATGTTTGTGATCCTTTTTCACCGTAGATAGAAAACAAAACGAGAAAAATGATACGTTTGATACGTTTGTAATTATATTCGAATTTCCATCTGTTTATCTTGATTCCTTTCATCGTTCGACGTAAAGCAGTTTGATTGAGGGCAACCCTGCTAATTATTACTTGGTTCGTCAAACCAAAGGAAATTCAATATCATCGATCTCAACACAGTTGTGCGATACTCGATCGATAACAGCTCACGCCAATTCTAATCGACAGCCCTCGACGCTTTTTCGCTCGTTAACCATTCTCTCTCGAAAGAAGGAGAGGAAAAAAAGATAGAGGAAAAAAATGACGAAACTTCTCCTTTGACAAACACTTCTCTTTCCTAATGTTAATAAAAAAAAAAAAAAAAATTAAAAAGTAAATTTAAAAAATGGTCGCTTAAAGAACTGGAAAATCCATTGAACGTTGCAGGCATAATCGCAGGGGGCGGTGGCGGAGGGAGAGATCGGTACAGCGGTGGTTCCGCTTCCGCTCTGAGCTGTGGTGGCGAGAAGATTCGAGAGGATAGGCAGGGAAGAATGGTGGACGGGAAGACGAGGATCAGGAGAGAGAGGGAAGAGGACACGAAAAGCGCGGACAACGTGTCGAGGGGCGCTCCCTCGAGGCAGAGTTTGTTGGAGCTGGTCAGCAGTAAATGCATGAGCCGCCACACGCCCACGCATCATTACTATCATCAGCAACAGCAGGTACCGTACCTGATCATACTTTGCTTCCAGGTTTATCCAGCTAAGGATGTTTCGCCAGTTATGCATCGATGGATAGGCTCGATACTAATTACGTTATTGTGACGATGGGATTAACCTCGATTCGCGTTTCGGTCAACTGTAATTAATCCGATAATCGTGCGGCTTTTCATCGGGCTCGACTGGCTGGACCGTTCAATCCAAAATTATCTCTTCGTATATTCTCTCTCTCTCTC